CTGTAATTTGCATTTAAGAAGAGTAGATACAATACAACAGAGTCTTTGTGGCCCACCCCCTCATCTTTCTGGCTTAAATATGTTAAAATCCAGTGTGCCTGTCCAAAGAGGCATCATTCACAAGAGAAACCATGGCTTTCAAAATGCAATAGGCTTTCATTTCTCCAGTGTTTTTCTTCCATGTGCTTGTCCTAAATCCCATGCTGCAGGAACTGGGCTTTTCAGATGTCTTCAGGGAAAACAGAATATTCCCCTAAAAAAAGTGCAGGTCCTCCAGGAACTGCACTTGTTCAGAGAACTATTCAGCATTTGCAAGGATGAGAACTTCTTCCATAGTTCATAACTGGCTACACAACCCTCACTCAAGAGACACATCCAAAGCAAAGTGTTTGAAAAGGAGGATTCTTAGATTCTTATTCAGCTGTAGGTATGGAAGGAGTGGCTGTACCCTAGTGTTGGACAGGACCAAGCAAAATGCCAGGAATATTTGCCGTGGCTTCGAAATTCCTACACCACCATTCCCTGTCTGAAGAAACTCCAGGAGTCCACAGCTCAGATTTGAGCATGGCCAAGAGAAGGTGACACTTTGAGTGGAGGCAGACACTCAGTCTCGAATTGGAGGCCTGTGGATTGGAGAAAGCACAGCTGCCCAAGCCTGTCGGAAGAGCTGGACCAGTTTGTAAATGAATGGCAGGGATGTGGGAGAAGCTGCAAAGCAGAACAAAAAGGTAAAACTAACTTGGTAAAACTAGCTACGTAAAACTAACATACACTAAACATATTAAGAAAGAACTACCCCCAAGTAGAATTAATAAAAACCAATTTCTCAATTTCTCTTCCTTCCTTCGATGAGGAAAAGGCTGAGTCTAGGACAGCTCTGCCTGCCTCTCACAGGCTGCTGAAAAGAGTTTGCAGAAAACTGGCATTGGTGGAGCTTCATCTTTCTACATGCACTTCAACTGGAAACATTAAACACATTAAGTTCCTAGTCACCCAGATTTTTTGTCTCCCTGAGACATTTACACAGACCAGATTTATTAAAAGCAACTAATTTCTTCTCCATAACCACAATGGAATTTTAAAAATTGGAAATCTTAATCCCATACCTGGGTCTAATCTCACCACCACCAGGTACAGCAAAAAAGTAGCCAAGAGCATCTTCTTGTAAGGAAGTAAATAGAAGTGGTTTGACATGGACCTCAGTGCTCTACGTAGCAATGTCAACATGGTCAGGAGCTTTTGGGACAGCACTCCTGGAAAACAAGAACAGAAAGGCTGTTAGGGCAAAGTAAAGTTTAAAAAGTAATCACACAGATGTAGCAAATAAGAAACTAAGGTACTGGCAGTCTGATTGCATGAAAGTTGGATTGGGTTTGGTTTTTCATACAACAGAGAAACAGTACAATTTTGTAATACACTTCATTATACTTCTTTTTTAGGCACATACTTTACTACAATATGATCTTATACCACAGTAGTGCCAAGGAGAGAACATCCAATGATTTACAGCTCTGGAGAACAAGCAGTACTTTAAATGCTAGACAGGCATTGTTCTACTTGGACTCAACTGTAAATGGAAATGAAGCAAACTGTACACAGAGCCAACAAACATATCCTTAAAGGATTGCCAGGTAGTCTTAGTTTTCCTCTTTTTACTTAAAAACCCCAAAACTTTTGATCCTGGGCATTAATTGTCATCTCCTGATGCTGGCAGAGACTAAATATGCTTTTACAATTCTCAGTAAAGGTATCACTAAGTCTTTTCTTTTCTGCTGTGATCCACAGCAGGAATTCCTCATGGCCTGTTCATCATGGCAATATTCTTAATGTGCAGTTAATACTTGCTCCCCTTCACCAGTTTGAAACGAAACTGAAACTGAACTGAAACTGAACTGAAACTGAAATGAAACTGAAACTGTAACAAAGGGTCACAAACAACAGAGGGAAAGCCCACCCAGAAGCGTTTCTGTGGCTGGGTCCTGCCGCTCCTCAGCCCCCGGGCGTGTCTCCTCCTCCCGCCGAGCCCAGCGGCAGCGGCTGTCGCCGATGGTGCCGAGGAGCTGCAGCCGCCGCTCGCTGTCCAAGGCGGAGCAGCCCCGCACCAGCTCCTCCGCGGCCCCGAAGCGCCCCAGCGGCAGCAGCACCTGCGCCAGGTACAGCTCCAGCAGCGAGCCGAACTCGGGCAGCCTCTGGTTGGCCGGGGATCCCAGCCAGCTGCTGCTGACCTCCAGCATCACCTGCAGCTCTCTCACTTTGCTGTACAGCAGGATGCTGAGATGCAAGGGAGAAGTATGAGAAAACCCCGAGTCTCTGTGGAAGCTGACATCACTGACAGATATTACCCACAAGCGGCTCTCATGAGGTATCAATCAGGGTCAATATCAAAGCACAGAGAGAATTCTGAGGCAGGGAACAGGTGCAGCTATTGATGTTACTCTCTCGAGATCACCCATTTTAACCCTGATCACCATGAAGCAATCTTGCAGGCATGCTCCAGCATACACACAACAGGCCTGTGCCAGATCTCACTCACACCAGGCAAAGTGAAAATATCACGCAATACCCAAGCCTGGCCTGCAGTTAAACCTAACACAAGACCCCACAAGATATATGCTGTATATCTGACAGCAACAGACAGAAACTCACCACAGCTCCAGAACCTTTGGAGGCAGATGTTCAGGCACATGGTAGTACTGCAGAACCCAAGACAGAACTTCTCTCCACCGGTTCATCTCAGCCAGCGCCTGGATCCCCACAACACAAAGGGAGCATTTCACTTCTGCAAAACTGGTAAGGAACAGACACCCAAGTAAGTGCTTCTTACAACCCACATTTCCCCTTGCATCCCCTCCAGTGACCTTCAGTGAACACAGTTCTCTGCTTCCCCTCTACTTGTCCCCTATAAAAAGGCCAATTCGAGGATATGCACTGTGACTATCTCTGAGAGAACGAAGGAAAGGCTCCTGGGCACACCGCACTTCCCTCAAAAACGCACAGATGAAACATTTTAATATCGACAGGGCTAAAAGAAACCCCAAAGCAGTGCAGGCATGGCCTGAAGTTGGAAGCCAGCCCGGCGCTGAGGCGGCACCGAGCAGCGTCCCAGCGCCTCCCCGTCCTCTCCACACGCCCGCACCTCTCGTGGCCGGGGCCGGGGCCGGGGCCGGGGCCCAGGCTGTCGCAGCCCGCCTCGCAGCGCTCCACGGCGGCGGCGAAGTCGCGGTGCAGCACCAGCAGATCCGCCGCCTCCTCCAACAGCGCGGCCGCCTGCGCCGGCCCCGGGGCCCAAGCGGGCGGCTCGGCCCTCATGGCACCGGCGGGAGGGCTCCCCCCGGCCCCGCACGGGCCCGGCTCAGCCTCCGGCTCCAGCGCCGCCACCGCCCCCGCCGGGGCCCGGCTCCGCTCGGCTCGGGCAGGCACCGGAAAGCCGGGATGGAGGCGCCCGGCAGCGGAAGGGCCGGTCCCGAGAGCATCCCGGCCCCGCGGGCCGCCGGGACGTGTAGTCACGGCTGCAGGAGGGCAACGGGGATGGCTGAGGGGCTGGAGCGTCTCTTACCAGGAAAGGATGAGGGAGCTGGGTCTGTTCAGCCTTGGGAAGAGAGGACTGAGAGGGGACCTCTTTAATGTGTATAAATACCTAAAGGGCGGTGCTAAAGATAAAGGCAGGCTCTGCTTTGCGGTACCGAGCAATAGGACAAGAGGCAATGGGCAGAAACTGATGCACAAAAAGTTCCACCTGGACAGGGGGAAAAACTTCTTTACTGTGCGGTGACCGTGCACTGGAACAGATTGCCCGGGGAAGGTGTGGAGTCTCCCTTTATGGAGATATTCCAGAATCGCCGGGATGCATTCCTGTGCCGTGTGCTCTGCGATGACCCTGACTGAGCAGGGAGGTGGGACAGGATGAGCCGCTGTGGTCCCTTCCAGCTGTCACTCTGCGGGGATCAGCGGTGGCAAGCGGGCACTCGGGGGCCGCTCCGAGCGGCTGCGGCCGCAGCTCCGGGACCAGGATCTGTGCCCGTCCCTGCCACAACGCGCTCCCTTCATCTCCTCCCTCGTGTGGCTGCCCAGGGAAAGGGGCCGAGGGAACAGCCCGCCTCGGCTGTTCTGCCCGCGGCCGCCGGGCGTCAGCCCAGCCCCGACAGTGTCCCAGCCCCGAGGGTGTCCCAGCACCGCCAGTGTCCCAGCCCCGAGTGTCCGAGGCCCGACAGTGTCCCAGCCCCGACAGTGTCCCAGCCCCGAGGGTGTCCCAGCTCTCCTCGCCCCGGGCAGGAGCGGGGCTAACGGGAGAGCGCTCCCCGCAGCACGGCCCGGGCGGGTGATGGATGCTCTCCGCTCCTGGCCGCCTCTTCCTCCGGGCACCTCTCCTCCGGCTCCCCGTGCCCGCAGTTCTGAGCACATTACGCTGTTGATGCATTTTGGGTGTAATGACAGCGTCTCCGGCAGCGCCCGGCAGGCAGCGGTTCGCATTCTCCTTGGGCTGTTATTTAAACACAACAGGGTGTCTTGGTTACAAGGTAATTACCGCAGTCAGTGCAAACGCTCTTCAAAAATGGATCTCTACAGGAGAGACAGGATTGATTTATCCTGTAACCTTTTTGAACAACTGACACATTTATCTATCCCCCTACTATGATTATGTAATTAAAAAAATCAAATGGGCTAATACAAGACATGGTAAAGGGTGAAACATATCTTACAAAGGGGATTTTCCATGCCATCTCAGTGTGGCGAATACGATCAAAGACTTGATCAGAGCTCTCTTTTTCTAGGTAGCTGTTTCCAGGAGGCAGGACCACGTACCTGCCCCTCTGGGCTGCAGCAGGAGCACTCTGCAGTAGCAGCTTTCACACAGTGGTGCATCCAAGGGGTTGGCACACCGCCCTAACTGTGGAACAGGTTCCCGGAGGATTAAGGTGAAACCACTGCACAGAAAACATGTGAAAGGGCCCAGCAGCAAGCAAAGGCAGAGGTAAAGGCGTTTCAGACTTCTGTTCCTGTTGCTCGGCGCTTGCAATTTGGAAAACAACATTCCTTTTTGGGAACTACAAGTCCCAAAGTGCACTGTGGGAAGAACGTGCCTCGTACCAGCTAGTGCCCAGCACAAATTCCCAAATATGGATAAGGAATCAAGTTTGAAAAAGACTCACACTGGCTGGATGCTCCTCACTGAGACTCAGAAAAGGAGTGAGACAGCAGAAAAACAAGGTAAGCTTGTGTCAGGCAAAGATGCTGTTGAAGGATTTCTTTCACGGGGAGCAGCCAGCAGTGTTGTGTGCCTTAGAGGGGCAGCCCAGCATTGCTCTGGTGGTGTTTGCAGCAGGGGTTGCAGTCACGGAGGCAGCTTTTGGAACAGGGCTGTTGCTTCAGGTGGGGGAGCGAGCAGTGAACAGTCAGATCCTGTTTCCCTGCAGGTGCACCTGATGAACGAAGACCTATGGAAAGACAGAGCTGCAACACTGATGCAGTTATTTTAGGGGCTGGGAAGGGTCAGGGGGAGGTGGGAGTTGCTCTGAACGGCAGGTCCTTATGAGCTGCAGCCTGTGGTTGTGTGAGAAGCCGAGGTGGACAAACAGCCTTGACATACCAATGTTTATAGGTTAAGTTAATTTCTCTGTAAGGCATGGTGGAATGTTTTTGTACTTCACCCCTCTTCCTAGAGGGGACAGTGTGGTGCCTCGAAGGCCAAACCTCTTGCAGCTCTCTGACCTGCAAATAACACTCAGTAACAGGATTGTTTAACTTCAGGCCAGGAACAATTACCTATTTTAGCGGCAATTTGTTAACAAGCAAAATGAAATCATTCTGAAATACAATCATCTCTGTGGAGATGAGGGATGCTCGAGCTCCGTTGTCGGGCACGCGTGCATCCTCGGCGGCTGACCCGGACCTGGGCAGCAGCAGCTCCTGCGTTTCCCTGGCTGGCGGTCAGGCAGAGTCCTGGTGCGGCTCAGATGCTCTGTGTGTGGACACTCTGCTGCTGGCTGACGTCAAGTGCAGCTGGTCAGCTGCACCCATCCTCGCAGCACCCTCCTCCTGCTATGTAGGGTCATGGAGCAGCACAGCCCGCACGGCAAATGTAGGAGGTGCAGTCCAGCCCGGGAGAGGAGCCTGAGGCTGCTCGGGCTGCTGAACCGAACTGTCACATGGATACTTGCTGCCAAATAGGAATGATGCTGTTTTTCCATCTTTCCTTGAATGGGAGCAGCTTAAACTGTCTTAAAGCTGAAAGGGTCCCTCTCGTGCTTGAAGCAGCTACGGAGCAGGGCAATCTATCCTACTACACAGGCACAGGAGGGAAGCAGGGTGTTTGCCTGTGCTCCTGGATAACAACTTCTAGTGACCAGAAAAGCTAAACCAACTTGCTGTCAGTGACAGGTAGTATGAGGGAGTACCACGGTGGGTTTTGTGTCCTGGGTGGAATGCCCATGCCCAGCTTGTGGCCTTTTGTATAAAGTCAAGGAGTTTTTTCCCTGCAGTCATCCTGATTTTGTATAGGAGAAGAAAAATGATTTTCAGCAGGGCCTTGTTTGTGTGTGCATCATCTGTGGATTGACTGGTTCCCCTCCTCCCTCTCCTGCCAGGCAGTTGGAGGAGAGTTTAGGGTTACAGGCACCTGTGGCAAGGCCTCCTGAGGTAAATCGCCTCAGCTATTAATCCAGATCTGACCAGCACACGGTCACAGGGCCAGAGGGCTGGCAATCAGTCTTTTTCTGTTGTCTCTTCTGTGTCAGTAGGCTGTTAATAGGAGATTAGCAGCATTAGGGAGACTTTGAGCTAGAAATGGTGAGGCCCTGTGATTTGATTTGAAGAGAAAGAAACCCTCCTACACTCCTATAAAAACAAACAGGAGAGCTGGAAATTATGAACGGCATTATAAACACAACTGAGGAAAGCACAGTGTCTAGGAAAGGTGTTGAGCTCTGTAGTACCTCGTAGCTTATCAGCAATGCTTTAACAAAGCAGTGAGGTCCATGGAGACCTCGGGTCCCAGTGTGCAGCACTCTGTTCTTATCACCACGTGCTTTTGTTTGACTCTGGCGAGACCATGACGTGCTGGAATCTGTAATTCGCTTGTAATTTCCATCAGCAGTAAATCCCCATTAAATATGAAGCTGGCTGGCTGCAGATCCCCTCAATTAGCCCAGATTCAGGGCTTCCCTGGCTGCTGGCAGGCAGTCTGCAGAGCCCAGGGCTGGGGGAAGGTGAACGCTCTCCTCCTGTGCTTGGAACAGATGGCCTGTGGTGATGCTTCCTTATCTCACCCAGCATTGTGGCACAGCATCAAACCTGGGTTTTGTTTCAAAAATAGAACTGTTTAGAGGAGACTCACCTGATTTTGAGCCCACCTGCTGATGTTCCTAGTCAGTGTGTTTAAATGCACTGATGTCTGATTTTTTTGGCTATATCCAAACCTATGTAAACAGCAGGTGAGAATGGTACAAGGCAGAAAAGGCACCTATGGGGCAGCCACAGCCACAGTCCAGCTGGGGGGTATCACAAAAAACAGAAGAGCCTATCTCCGTTTCAACCTTCATCACAGATGCACAAACACTGTGCGAGGGGTAAACACTGGAAATTGGGAAACTGGGAGCACAGCGTTGTGTTCACAACTTGTCAAAACTTGAGTTTTACTCACATAATAGCAAAAGCTTTCCGAAACAAAGGGCAGTTTTAACTTAAGTCCCTTTCTTTTCTTCATAATCAAACAAAGTACTCGCCTTGGCAAAGCTCCTGTCAAAGAATAGCAGCAGTTACTTCGATTTAATTGTTACTGTTATAACAGTCATAATTAGTGCTGGGTGGGGCATTTCATAGCTGTAAGGTGACCAATTTGGTTAGAGGCCTAAGGCATCTTCTTTTCTTCAGCTAGTTATTATCTGTGAGAAAATACTGAAAATACTGCAGCCTGTCATCACTGTGGGTCAATTACACCCTGTTTGCCTACCACAGCATCTCTTTGCTCATCACTTTAGAGTCACAACCCCTCTAACAGTTAATACCACTTCTCAAGGCCCAGCTTGCCAAAATCAACTCTCATCCATTAGTCTCCACCTTTCCTCTTTTTTCAAAAGCAAGCCTTGTGCTCTCGTGGCTGGGAGACAGGCTTGATACTGTGAATCCTGGAACTATTTGTACCACAAGGCAAACAAGGTGATTTGAGAAAATGGTTCTTTCTCATTTTTGCCCTAACTTCCTGACATGTCAGTATTTCTTTTCACAGTGTCTGTCCCTCATTCTGAATGCACATTTACTGTGATCTGCCTTAATTATCTCTACAAGCAGGCAATGCATCTTCTGCATCTCAAATTGGACATTTCAGAATATACTACAGAAGTTAACAAACTCTTCTCCATCTCAGTCTTCTGGTCCTGGCTCTTGCCTGGCCAGGTCTCGTGGCGCTCACAAAGCTGTGATGTGAGGCTGCTTTAGGAAAGCTGCAGTGGTAGCAGTGCCTGAGCCTCGGGAGAAATCCCCAGGGAAGGAACTGATGCTGGTGGAACCTTGGCGTCTTGTGTTTCACCCAGAGCACTCCCTGCGTGCCCCTCTGGCTGTGGCGGGCAGAACTCCCCTGCCTGCTGTTTGTGCTCCTGAACTTGATACAGTAATTACTTGATACAGTAATTAACTGGTAATTGCTTTGTTATGAACGGCATGCGAGGTTGTTTTTTAACGTAGCCAATGAGTGTGCAGCACCTTTCTGCTGGGAGGATTTCTCCCATCCTCTGAAGATCTGTGGGCTATTTCAGGGTCCTACCTGTTTGAGAGGTGTGCTTACACTGTGTGTAGGATTAATGTCTCAAGCAGTGTATTGGCCCTATTTCCCTAACGAGCTGATGTTCCCTTGCCCTTTGTACCTCCCTTCCTTGCTGCTCCTTCTCGACTTTCTTGGCAATGCCAGGTGCAGACAAAGGTAGGATTAGATGTCTAATTAGTTTATGTAGCCTTAGACATACGTGGTTACTTCTTGGCACTGGGGGAAGGGCAGCCTGTGAGGATTCCAGCCCTTGTCTCAGTGAGGTTTTCAGCTTTGGGAGCAGCCTGAGCCCAGGCAGACTCAAAAGGCAGGCCAAAATTTTCTAGACACATTTTGTTCCAGATGCCTGTTCAAGGAGGAAGTTGAAAACCCAGTCTGTATTACCAAATCTGAAATAATTTCTCATTTAATGTTAGATCCAAAAAGTTTATTTCCAACGAATGACTCAGTGTAGACAGCCTGAAAGAACTTGCTTGAAACATGGCAAAAAAGCTACTAAGCTGTAATTAATATATTTTGGAACTATGCTGTGGATGGGACAAGTTGTATTTATAATATTTTTAGCTTCTCAAAGTGAACTTTAGGCTGTAGCTCTCCTGTCTCCCACTGCCACCACCCTTCAGCAGATATAGCCAGGGAACAGAGAGGATAATGTCATTGTCTTTCCTTCCTGACAGAAGGCTTATTTGATTTGTAATTTCAGTTGTATTTATGGTGTTCCAATATATCTGAATGAAGAGAAATGGATGAGGGTAAAGCAAAGGATCAAGAGTACACTACAGCTGCGTACACCAGCAAAATAAAATCCCTCAAGAGCAAAGTAATGGAAATGGGATTCATGCATGAACTCTGACCAGACCTTCAAGGATGGAAAATGGGGTGAATTCTGCCAGGGATTGGGAACCTAATTTTTGCTCTCAGGGATAGACAGCAGCTGCCCTTACATTTCTCATGGAGTGTCTTTGTGAGTGAGAGGGCTGCATGCTGGTGTGTCAGCCTGGCCCTCAGAGTACAGCCAAGCCATGAGGATGGAGGTCACTCTAAACACAGCAAGGTTAAGTGAAATAAGGCCATGAGGAGGTCATGGTGAATTTGAAAGGGAGAGTGGATGGACAGACATGACTGATGATAGCTCTGGTTATTTGAAACAAAACCTTAAATAACTCAAATTTGTATTCAAGAGCACTTGTCCATGTCAGGACTCTACATCCATCTTTCTGTGTCAGATCAAGCAGCAGTTCACAGCAGTTCACATTTCCAATGCACTCTGAGCTGCTGGAACAGTATGTCTATTCTGAGCTCCCCTTCCAAGGCTGTCTCATTCCAAAAGGTGTGCTCACAAGGAGAAATTCAACACTAGAAAGTTAGTAGAATAATTTTAGGAGATAGAATCACTGCATCCTAAATCCCCAAAGGAGTTGACTCTCTAAATAGCCTTAGCAGGGAAGTA